CACCTGTGCCACGTCAGGGGAAGGCCTGTACGAGGGCCTTGACTGGCTCGCCAAGAGGTGACCCTTCTGTCACTCACTCTCCATCCATACTCCCCTCCTCCCCTCCTCTGCCCCTTTGCTGCTCACCCCCCCGCCTCCCCCTCTTCTCCCCTCCCCTCCCAACCAGGTACATCCAGAGCACCTGTGCCACGTCAGGGTATTATCACACCGTACCACACACCCTTACCCCTCCTCTTCCCCTCTACAAACCCCTCTTCCCTCCTTCCCTTCCACTTCCCCAACCAGGTACATTCAGAGCACCTGTGCCACGTCAGGGGAAGGGCTGTATGAAGGCCTTGACTGGCTCTCTAACAACATATCACACCCTAAACCGTCCTCTCCCCCTCCACAACCCCCTCTTCCCCCCACCCCCACCCCCCAAACAACTCACCAGGTACATTCAGAGCACCTGTGCCACGTCAGGGGAAGGGCTGTACGAGGGCCTTGACTGGCTCGCCAAGAACATCACACTCAAGGTGTGTTCAGCTGAATTTGTAACCCAGCCAAAATTGCAAACCATGACGATGCGAGATGTGAAACAAGAAACACTTGCGTCCTAAGGGATAAGTAGCAGGGGCTGAGTTGACTCTCCATGAACGTCACTCTCAAGGCACGTTCAGGCACCTTTGCAAACCGTGAGGAGCCATGCGTATGACTGGCTAATGCGCACCAAGCCATTGACTCGTTAGGAATCATGTCTGAGAATTCTCAAAGGTGATTTCAACAAGCCATCGCCCCGTTTCCCCAAGCAACGGACATCCGATTGCCTTTCACCTCGTCTACCTTGACTCTGGCAACCCCCCATTCTCCTTTTCCTCTATAATTTAGAGCGCAACACCATTTTTCCGCTTGATGGTTCGAACCACCGACGGTTCGGACTGTGGACTGGTAACAGGTGTCGTCAGAAGTCGTAAGTGAGTTCGTCAAACTTCTTGCGACACTGTACGCTTCGCATTGCGTCGCATGGCTTCCGTGCGACGTCGCAAAAAGGACGCAATCTAACAGACTGCGTCGCACACGGTTCGAACTTTAGCACGTGGCAAAATGGTGCGGCGCCCTTATCTATCCTGTCCCCCCTGTATCACTCCAAAACTCCCCCTGAATCTTCCAGGACTAGCTTTTTTAACCGACGAAATTCCACGGGGCTAGGCGTTTATGCCTGGAATCGTGAGCCATTGCGCAGGAAACTTCCACAAGACTTCCTGGCATCTACAGCCTCCCTCAGGAGACCCTAGCTGCTCGCATGTGGAAGCTGCTTATCCTTCAGATATGGCAAACAGAAGAAGCAATACTGCTTACCCACCCCCCCTGCTGGGCGTTCCTTGCCTGTGCTTGTTCCAGCATGACTTCTAGTTTCTCTCAAATCCTCTCCATTGTTCATATGGTAGTCTCGTTTTTGGATGTGCACTAGTGCTCCTCTCACTCGTTATTGGACCTTTCATTAGTACCATCTCAAGAACATGTACAAACAAGACTTAACGTAAGGAGGTTGCCAAACCCACTGGCAAAGGCTTAGGAGGGCAGGAAAAAAAAAAAAAAAAAAAAAAAAAAAAGGGTGAAGCAAGCGAGCGTGTCAAATCACTGACTGACCTAGCAAAAGGCCTCAAAAGTCGCAGCATGCATGCCTCCTCTCCCTGCCGCCACCAAATCCCATCCTCCTGCTCCAATCCTCCATCTCCCCCCACCCCTCCTTCTAGGTAGCCTCAAACGAACAAACAAGCCTCACGAGCCTCTAGAGCGCCTAGAGCAGCACAAGGCTCGCAGCGCGCGTGCCTCTTCTCCCTGCCGCCACCAAACCCCTTCCTCCTGCTCCACTCCTCCATCCTCCCCACCCCCTCCTCCTTGGTTGCCTCAAACGAACAAACAAAAAAGCCTCTATATCCTCTAGAGCCTCAAAAGCAGCACAAGGCACGCCACAGAACGCCTGTCTCCTCTCCCTGCCGCCATCAAACCCCTTCCTCCTGCTTCAATCCTCCATCCTCCCCACCCCCTCCTCCTTTGTCGCTCCTACAGCCTCTAGAGCCTCAAAAGCAGCACAAGGCACGGCGCAGCACGCGTGTCTCCTTTCCCTGCTGCCACCAAATCCCTTCCTCCGGCTCCACTCCTCCTGCCCCACTCCTCCCTCCTCCTCCCCCATTCCTCCTTGGTCGCCTCAAACGAACAAGCAAGCCTAACGAGCCTCTAGAATAGCACAAGGCACGCAACACGCCTGTCTCCTCTCCCTGCTGCCACCAAATCCCTTCCTCCTGCTCCAATCCTCCATCCTCCCCAACCCCTCCTCCTCCCCCTCCCCCAGCTCCTACTTTCCTTCCTCCCCAAACCCTACATTCCCACGCCCACCTTCCTCACGCCCCTATTTCCGCCACGCTTGGCGCATTCGTGGTTTTCCATTCTTTCTTCTTCCCGAACCCTCCTTTCCCCCCTCCCTTTCCTCCCCAGACCCTACATTCCGCACATCCCCCCCCGCCGCCCGCCTTTCCAGAGCCCCTATTTCTGCCATCCTTGGCGCAACCTTGGCATGTTTGCCACGCTCTCATTCCCCCTTCCCCTCCCCAATTCCCTTTCCTCCTCCCCAAACCCTGCATTCCGCACATCTCGCCCTGCACCCACCTTCCCCATGCCCCTACTATCTCCGCCACGCTTGGCGCAATCATAGCCGCATCCCCCTTCCCTCCTTCCCCCCAACTCCCCCCTCCCCATCCCCCGCTTTCCGTCCTTCCCCCTCCCCAGCTCCCCTTTCCGCAACAAACCCTACATTCCGCACATCTCGCGCTGCGCCCGCCTTCCACACGTCCTTATCTCCGCCACGCTTGGCGCAACCTTTATTCGCGTCCCCTCCCCTTCCCATTTTCCAACCCCTTCCCGCCCTCCCTCCGTCCTTCCTCCTTACTTCCCTTCCCCCTCCCCTCCCCTCCGCAGTTCCCCGTTCTCCCCAAACCCTACATTCCGCACGTTTCCCCCTGCGCCCGCCTTCCCCACGCGCCTATCTCCGCCACGCTTGGCGCAACCTTGGGGGACTGAATCGGCGCCATAAGAACCCCCGCGCCCTCTTCCATTTCCCCCGCCCCTTCCGCACCCCATCCCCCCCACCTTCCGCTTCCGCCGCTTCCCCTTCCGCCTCCCCTTCCGCTTCCCCTCCCCCCTGCGCCGCCTGCTCCAGTCCTCCCCACACCCTCGACTGCACCCGCCAATCCGCACTCTTCCGGGTAACCCTCCCCCAGGTTACCCTCCCCCATGTTACCCTCCCCCACGTAACCCCATCCCGAATATCCCTGTCTCGGGAATATCTGACAATACGGGCCACAGAGCGGACCGCCCACGAGTTGCTCGATTAGGGTTAGGTCGGGGGGCGTGGGGCAGTGGATGGCGGAGAGAATCGCGGGAGCGGGTGCCGTGGTGGTACTACTACTAGTCGTGGGTGTGACTGTGGTGGGGTCTGATAATGACGAGGATAAGGTCGCATTCATGATTGTCGTGTTTTTTATTTACTTAGGTTTGGATAGAGAAAATTGTGTGTCACTCTAAGTAGTGGCAATAGCAGTAGCAGTTCAGCAGCGGTTCGGCAGCTAATTTATATAAAAGCAATTCTAGCTACAAAGTCTACTTCGTGCTAGCGCAAAACATCCAAACACCTCGCAGTTCTGAAAATGGCCCTACTAGCATGCGAGCAAGTTAGATGTGGTACTACTGCTAGATGTGGTAGCAGCTGACGCTTTTTGAAACAGTGATAGCGGGGGTGTTTCGCAAAAGAGTTTCTGAGTTGTTGGAGTCGCGGAATTCCCAAGGAAGAACGAACTCATGAACAAGAAACTTTAGTGGAAGAAAGCAGTGAAGCGCACTGTTGCTGGTTCCTCTGACTCTTTCCAGGGGATGGAGGTTGGGAATGGGAGCGGAAAATGCAGTCCAAAAAAGACAGCCTTGGGAGCTTCGGTTGCGATGTCGCTTAGTCGCTGGTAACTCTTGCGAAAGTACAAACATCGCTTCGCTAACAGTCTATAGTGTTTCTTCCTGACCAGCGCGGCAAGGTCGAGATGGCTGATTGGCTTCCGCCCCGGTGAATCCTACAAAGTCCACATCAGCTCTAACGAAGCATGGGTTGGTTGACTTGGTTATCCTCTCTAGAGGGCCACACGCAATAACGACAGGCAGCCTACAAATAAAATGTAGAATTCGATATTGCACAAGCACGTTGCAGAAAACAAAATTAAGTCAATTAGATAGGTTAGTACTCATCTCTGCTGTCTCGATAACCTATAATGATGCTTTATCTAAGCCGAACTGCCCTTTCCCTGTCGACCCTGTCCTACCTCTTCCTTTCAACTTCTCCCCTTCCACCTGCTTCTTACCACCTCTCCCATAAAATCTCAAGTACCATTCTACAAATTTCTGTAGCCCATCCTTGAGTCTCACTGTTGGGTGATACCCTAGCTCATGCTCTGCCCTTGACACATTTGCATGAGTGAAAGGCACATCCCCGTTATGAGGCAGCTGCACTGTCCGCTTCAACGCCTTCTCCTTCAGATGTAACTGTAGATAGTCGACCAACTGAGGCACGGAAACTGGTTGCGTATTCCCGAGGTTCAGCACCCGAAGCTGCGCCGGACCTGTCTTCTTGCCTTGAACGCCGGTGCTAGGTGTAACGGTTTTAAGGGCGCTGACACAGCCTTTGATGACGTCATCTATGTAGGTGAAGTCCCTAGAAACAAGGGTCTGTAAGGGGAGAAAAGGTAAGAGTGGAGAGACGAAGAGAAAGAGAAAAGTTGAGAAAAAAGAGGCAATATGAGAGCGAAAATGCAAGATAAGAAGGGGAGGGTATGGGTGGCAGAGGGCTATGCGTGGAACAGACAATGAAGAGGGGGATGGGGAGATGGGTTTGAGAGGTGGGGGGAGGAGCGGGGCGAGGGGAGGGGGGAGAGTGTGGACATTGAAGGATGAGGGGGGATGGAAGATCTAGAGGCACCTCAGAAGCACACGGGGTGAAGGTGAAGGGGGGGGGGGGAGAGAGAATAAGGGGTGAGAGAGGGTGGGGGGAAAAGGGGGACGAAGGGGAGAGTGTGGACATTGAAGGATGAGGGGGTATGGAAGCTCTAGATGCACCTCAGAAGCATACGGGGGGAAGGTGAAGGGGGGGGGGGGAAGAAAATAGGGGTGAGAGAGGGTGGGGGGAAAAGGGGGAGAAAAGGGATGGGTGGGAGCGGAAAAGGGGGACGAAGGGGGGAATGTGGAAACCCTGGATGGGAAGGATGGGACGAGATGAGTGGGGAAGGAAGAGACAAGCATTCGGAAGAGGCAACTCACAGAAGTTTGTCACCCCATTCGGAAGGGGTAAAAGCATTCGGACTTAGACTCACCCCATTGGCTCCCATGTACACTTCAATCGCCTTCTTTTCCAATATATTCTTCGTAAAAAAGAAATACGCCATATCGGGTCTTCCCCACGGCCCGTATACATTGAAGAATCTCAACGCGGTTAGTGACAGTCCGTGGATGTGATTATACGAGTGTGCGATCGATTCGCCAGCCAGCTTCGTCGCAGCGTACAGGCTCGCCGGTCGCTCGGTCCTGTGCGACTCTGAAAACGGGACCTCGCGATTCACGCCGTACACGCTGCTGGACGACGCCCAGACGATCGCAGGCTGTCGCACAGGCACCCTGCGACACCTCTCCAGCAGATTCACGAACCCTGCGACGTTGCTGTCCACGTAGGATTTTGGATTCTCCAACGCGTACCGAACTCCCGCTTGCGCCGCCATATGTGCCACGTGGGTGAATGTGACTGTACCGAACAGCGCATCGAGAATCGTGCCGTTGTTCAAGTCACCTCGGATAATCTCAATCCCCGCAGACCAGAGCCGCGCCGCGCGCACTTCCTTCAGCGTAGTATCATAGTAGTCGTTAAAGTTGTCCAGACCCACCACCCCGTGACCCTCCTTTTTAAGAGCAAGCGCGAGGTGCGACCCGATGAATCCGGCAGCCCCCGTTACAAGAACAACCATGGACTCGTTCCGCTTCTGCCCGCCTTTCACGACTACGGGTGGCACTGCGCTGGCCCTCTGCTGACCAGAAAGACTGCCGTTGACTTTTGCTGACTCAACCAGCCGCCGGACCCAGTCAGCCTCGTGATTCCCGCCGCGATTTCCGCTCCCAGCGCCGGCGTCGCGTCTGCGACTGCTCGGTCCGATGAGGTCCGCGTAGCGCGATAACAGGGACGCTTTTGGCGAGTACAGCGGCACCGCGTCGTCTTCTGCCCGTTGATCTCCTCTGGTCTCGCTGGAAGTGACGGCGGATTCAACGGCGGCTTTCGCGGCGGCTTTCCCGGCGGTTTTGACGGCTGTTGTGCCGGCAGGGAGAGTGACAGTGGACAGTCCAACGGTGGGGTCGAAGGAGTTAGACGAGTAAGCCGCTACGGAAATATCCGTGACCTGTAACGAATTCCTCGTTAACGCGTACGAAGTGTAGGACCCCGCGAGGCTGGAGACAATTGCGGTGAGCGCGCAGGCAAGGACGAGGAGAGACCACGACGGGCCCCGATCGTGCTTGTACTTGCTGTGACTATTGTGAAGGGAGGGGGCATCTAGCACGATAAACGAAGAGACGGAATGGCTTTTGCTGAGCGACGCGGCTCCTCCTGACTGCTTCGCTCTTGAGGGATGGAGGACGACACGGGAAGGATTTTGCGGGTGTTGTTGAAACTTCTCGGAAGCATCGTGTGAGGAGAGCGAGTGGCTCTTGCTCAGCGACGCGGCTCCTCCCGACGGTTTCATTATTCTTTGCGGGAAGTGAGGAATGGCGCTACGTGAGGAATTCTGAGGCGTTACAATAGAAATATGGTCTCTGAGTCGTCTCAAAAATCGTCTGCGGGGATGACGGAGAAGATGTGTGCTGGGAAGAAGAAGATCGGTGGGAAACCTAACGAATCCCGATTCTTACGAAAGCTGTTACGATGTACGCCGTGAAGGCTGATCTCGGCCGCGGTACTGGAGTAGTCAGGCTCCCAGAAGAGACAACTATTTCTGTATTTATAAGTTGAAGGCTCCTTGCTCTAGTTGGGGGTACAGAGCTACCAGCAACTTCCGCTTCCGCGAGCAGGACCGTAAGTTGTTGTCTCTTCGTGCTGGCCCTCAGTGAATGGTACTCGAGAGTAGTATGATGGCTATTTTTTTCAGTCGACGAAGTATCAAGCTATGAGGCACCTCGAATCAAGGTGCCTTTTTCTTCAGTATACCTTCACGGACGGACTATCAGAACCTGCAGTGCCGTTGTGAGTATGAGACGTCTCAAAACTCGATAATTACTCCCCGAATCAGCAGCATGCCGTACAGACTAGTGCTTGCGAGCGACGGGTGTTGGATTAGCTTCCCAGCAATTGACGCAGTCCGAAGCGTGTGTATTGCGGTTCGAGAGTCGCGGTGGAGGCAAAATACCTTGTGTTCTGTCGGATGATCGGATATTTGTCTGGTCTCTCGTTGCAGTAGGTAGACACGGAAACTAGGCAAGTAATTTAGCTGTAACGATGGATGGAATAAGCTCGCGCGAATTCTCGGTCCGCTCAGTCGCTTCTCTTAGCGGTCCGCGCAAGCCAATTTGGCTTGCGTTGGCTTGCGCGTGGCCGTTTACAGTATGTGAGAGGGTTGAAGAAGTTTCGAAATGGTGGAGTGTTCAGGAGGATTAGGTTGGGGGGGTGAAAAAAGGGGAAACCAGGGGAGGTGGCGGAGGGAGATACTATAGGACAGAATTTGCTGCAGCATAACGCGCCTTGCCCACACACACACACACACAAACCCATCCAGCCAGTCCTACACAATCCTCTGATTGCCCCCCGCGTTTCGATGTGCGACGCGGGACACCAAGGACCGACAGCTAGGCCGAGTCGCTAGTCGCGTTAGAGATGAACCCCACCAAATCTCCGTCTGTCTGTCGCAGTTCCCTTCGCACAGTAACACTTTCTGACTGCCAAGCCAGGACTCTGGCGCTGCGCGACGAGGCGGGAGGGACTGTCGGTCAGAGAGAGCCGTTCTGCGACTGTAGGAAGTTGAAGGATGGCTCGCAGAGCTTTCGGGGCCGTCGCTCCTGGCGGAAGACTGCGCAACCTGCGATCTGTCCCAGCCAGCCGCTTGCTTGAGCCGACATGATCGTGTGGTCGTCAGACGAGGTCGTTGTTGACACTTTTACGCATTTGATTGTTGTCTTCGCTAACTTTTAGATTCAGAAGCTTGTCTTCTTATAGAAAAGGAAAATAATGGCTACTCACTTTCATATATTATTAGGATTTTTACTCCTCGTCTGATGCATTTTTAAGTGCTGCTCTCAACTAATCACAATTCTTCATACATGCTCAATGAGGGTAATCAAACTACCGTATGAGTGACAGTAATAACTGGAAGTCACCTTAGAATGGGATGTCATCATCATCGCCATTTTTATCCTCCTCAAAAATGTCGTAAGGGTTGCCTGTTCTTTGAACACCTCCATGAAATCCAGTAGCTCTGAAGTTCTTCAGTGTCAATGGAAGCGACTCACTTGCCGGTACCACAATCTCAATCTCAAACGTCCCTTCTCCCTGCATGGCACAAGAATGGCATTGGGCTTATAGTGAGACACTGAAAATGAAGTAACAGAAACAGCATCAGGTGAGGGTGTAGTGCGGCAGGCACAGGAGTCCCCTCCTGATCACTCAAACACAGTCAGGATTTTATCTCTACAACTCACCACAGGTATCTCTTTGATGCTTGCCAGTCTCCCCCTGTTTGGAATTGCCGGTTCGTCATACGCATCCAGGACAAACCCGAATACATCCGCGTTATAGACAGGCCGTCCTGATTTGTTCACTGTAGTGCCCATAATCAAGAAGCACTTGGCCTTGTATAGGGAAGATCCGGGCCCAACCGTGTAGGGGTTGGCACAAGGGCGGTAGGTTAGGTCTTTAAGAGCCACTGTAACCACCTGAAGGACGGACAATGAAGTGGGTAAGGGAGGGGTGGGATAGGGAGGAGAACAAGGAGGTTGAATTGGAATTGAGGTGTTGCAACGCTGTAGTGTTTGATTCATATTTAGGAGTAAAAATTGCACTCAAATGACATAATGAGCAGAAGGCCAACAGAGGGATGCGAAGAGATTGGCCGGAATTGCGAGGACCAGGTGGCTTAGGGATGACACGCTGATAATACGGGGTGGTTAGGTAGGATGCGGCTTAGGGATGACGTGGTTAGGATGCCAACGTACCGCAAGAGCTTCGGGAGGTTGAACCCAAGGCATTCCCGCTGTGACAATCGCGGTAGCGGCTGTTGTCGCAGCTCCAAGAAGGATCGTTCGCCGGGACTGGTTACCAGTTAACGATTCCAGCGCGACTGTTTCATTTGTGGAAACAGTCTGCGACGACGCGCTAATGGCCATCCACGGTTCCGCCTGGGATCGCACGGCGCGCAGCGAATGAGCAATTGGCGCGTGAAATTTCACGGGATGTGACGATGTAGCGCCATGGAATCCGCGACTACCGCCAGACATCTCGCCGAGCCATGCTAAGCTCGAAAGGGGCTGCTTGGACGTCAAGCTACTAGCTGCAGCCATTTCGGCGTTGAAGGCAGGAGAGGCGTTGCTCCTCGATTTGATGAGTTTGGAGCAGAGGGGGGCAGTATGGGGTGGATTGAAAGGTCAGGTGAGAGATAGGTTCAAGTTTAAGTTTTATTATGGTCGTAACCCAGACAACACAGAGGCAAAGAAGGAGTAACCCAAGCCATAGGCCTACGCTAAGGGCGTGTGTCCTTCAGCAAATTTTGTAAAGTTTGCTTGAACTTGGTTCGAACTGTAGTCGGATTTTTTCAACTTCCCATGGTCTAGCCGGGTGTCACCTTTTAAGGCAACCACATGTCACATCGAAGGGTCGACCCTCAAAAGTCGACTTTTACAACCTATCTCGCGTCGCACATACGACTCGTAGGTTACCCTGTTTTCCATCTTGACCGTGCGCCGCGTCTGATTCGATGGCGCACGGTGAAACCTACGTATGATTCGATAGCGCACACGATGGCGTTCGCCAGTGTCGTCAGTTTCGCTGCAGCTGCAAACGTGGGAACAAGGACACGCGATTGCATGAATGTGCGGGCGTTTCTTTAGCTGCAAACAGCGTTTCTTTAGCTGAACTTGCTGTAAATGAGAAAGTCTACAGTATCTCTATGGGGGTTGAAAGGCACTATTGAGCAGCCAGGAGGAGCGGAGCTCTTGGTGTAGTTGGGGGGACCCGTTGGGGAGAAAGTGAAGCAATTTGTGCTTGATGGCCGCTTGGACCCGGTTGAAAGTGGTGCGTTGTCGTTTGTTGGAGAGTTTACCACGGCGGTAGAAGTAGGTTTTACAGGCTGTGAGGAATAGGGCCAGTATGCGATGCAGTGTTTCTGTACTCGAATAGGAGACACTGTCATAGATCTGAGAACATCGATCCCTCCATAGCGTGGTTGCCGCAGCTCCGACCAGTAAACACCACGGGGCGATTTGACCGGCGGGGAGTACGGTCGGGAAGAAGACAGCTTCGTGCGGGATCCTCAGGCGGAAATGATGACTGGAGACGTGTTATAGAGTGGCGGTGACCATTGGCGCATTGCCACATTCGAAAAAAATGTGCGTATGTGACTCGATGATGTTGGCGCGGCATCGCTGACAGATGCCTTTTGTCGGGGTATACGGCATTCTGGCGCCGCAGGGCAGGGAGCGGGTGTAGAGACGGAATAGGATGTCTCTCTGCCGGCTGGTTTGGTCTTTCAGGAAAGCATGGGTCAGGTCGGGAAGCGAGCGCAGTGGGGTGAGTAGGGCCTCATTCCATCTTTCGACATGGAGTGCCTGTGGTGTGTAGAGCTGTTTCCGGATCATCGCGAGCGAAGTCTGTTGCCGAAGCAGCTCGTGTCTGACTCCAAGTGCAGCTCCCGAGCAGAATGGCCCCGCAAGCCAACTCCCTATCACGCACACCGTGATGACTTCTGTCGCGGCCAGGGTAGTGCATCCGAATGGTGTCTTTGTCACTTGTCGCCCCTGAGTCACTTCGTAGCAGTCGAAATTCACCAATCCGTTGTCCAGAACTTGTGTAACGCGAAGCACTTGTGAGCGGCGAGAGGTTGGGGAAGCTTCGAAGGCCCAATCGTCCTTGCTGAGATAGTCCGGACGTGGGGTGAAGTTGTTCATAACTTCCCACCAGTCATCAGGTACAGCTTTGCAAATTGCGAGAAGGACACCCAGCCCGCGTGGGAAGTCTTTGGGCGGATATTGGGAGCGGAATTCGGACGGGGTCAATTGTCGGGATCGTCTTGGGACAGGGACCAGCAGGTTGCCAAGCCGAATTTGCTTGTCGAGAAGGAAGAACTCTTCCTTTACCCTGCCAAAAGGTTTTTTGTCCGGTTTGTGAATGAACCTGCTAAACGCAACAGGTTCCGCCATCAGGACCCATGGTTCCAGTCGCGGTTTTGCCACTTTTGCCGGGGCGTCCAGAATGCTCTTTAGTTCTGCGACAGCTCTGGGGGGAGTAGAAACAAATAGGTGCTTGAGAATATAAGGGTGGGCAAGGTAACAGTGCAAGCCGTAAGGTAGGGTGACGCATTCCCGGGCGGTGTCTTCAAAAGGCGTGGGTAAGAAGCGGCGAGCTGCACGTTGAATGTTGAGGGCCTTTAGGTGGCTAGAAGGTACCAGCGCCCCAACGCCACCATGTTTCTTTCCGTTGTATAATATCCCTTTGGGTATATATCGTTGGGCTTGCCCGTCCTCCTTGTACTTGGATGAAGCC